CATTGTTCTAATTCATAAAACCCGACCAAGGTGCTCCGCTGTGATTGGGCGTGACGTTTGCTTGATGGGTCCACAGCATTATCACCAGTTACCTCTCGGCCTGATACCAGGCCGAGAGGTAACTGGTGATAATGCTGTGGACCCAATAAGATTAGCGGAAGATTAGCTTTTGTTTTATTGCCCACTGCTGCACACGTAAATGTAAAAGATCAAAGTTGTCCGGGTTGGAGTCACTTTGTCGAAGCAGATTGTAAAGAGCTTTCTGATAAATTCAATAAATTGACTCACTTTTTTTCCTTTTTCCGGTCCCTCCTCAAAATGTGTAGACATCACAGTGAAACATACTGCTTAAATAAATAAATATGGATTCGATTGTGATTGAGCCAACAGCTGTCTAAACCCCTCCACATTTCCATCCCCCGACACCCACAACATTTTAAGATTTGAGAGTGGGTTTCACCTTGAGACGACGGAGATGTTGTGAGGCCCCCGCGGAAGTGTTAGTCACATCCTTGTTTGCTTACATTATTTGGAGGAGATTGTGCCTCCGCTCCCCTGGAAGCGCAGTGGCTTTCCTGGAGTTTTCCCATGAGGCCTCTGCAGCGTACGGGCATCACCAAAGTGATTGGCCTCTTGGATCACCACTGTAGAGTAGCTAAGAAAAAAAGAGGAGAATATCTTAAGTTTTGGTTTTACTTCAAACATCCATTACATCCAAGACGCGATGGTCTCTTTGGTTTCAGCTCATTCAGCTCTGAAGCATGAAGCACCTCTCTATTCCCTTCCTCCTCTGGAACTCACATCTGGCTCACACCACTTCCGCCCGGAAGCAGGAGCCACACAAAAGACCCCACACAGACGAGCCTGTTCGCTCCCCCCCTTCCTTTGTTCTACCGCCACGGCCATGTGCAAAAGCGGCCCGGATCATCTCCCCTTGAGTCACCAAACCTGCTTTCTTCTGTGTGTGTGGGATGTTGATGCTTGTTCTCCGAGCATCCATCCATCCATCCACACACACACACAAAACGTGAGAGTACTTTGTTCACACTGGTCGCAAACAGCAGTTTCCCGGTGTCTTGATTCTCCGTGTTTTGACAAGGCCAAGTGAGCTTCTGAACAGCCAAGCCTAAGATCACTTTTAAATGTATAGTTTATCATTTTCTCCGTAAAATGCACGTAACAAATCAGTTTGATACCATATAAATCATCTTTCATTGCAAACTGTAGGCTGTCTGGCTTCTTTATTTTTTTTTCACTTTTCCTTGACTGTTTCAGAAAGAACAGAAATGGGGTTTTCAGACACAATTGGACTCCTTGTCACACAGCGAGGCGACTCTCAACCCCCACGCAGCGGCCTCGGCATGAATGGTGGGTTGTTGTCAGTAAAGCAAAAACCCACAAAATGACGGAGTCAGTAGACTTCAGTCGGCCTGCATCACATTTCACGATCAAATAACCCTCGTGTTCACAGTGACCTTGTGCTAATCTTTTGTTTTCACAGTCACCTCTTTTCCTGTGATGATTGAGACGGAAAAAACACACACAGTTCGTAGGTGTTGCCGGACGGAGTGACGGGGATAAGAAAGCTGCGGCACCGTCCTTCGGGGCACTTGGGTTGCTAGGACACCGTGTCACCATCCTCCTCCTCCTCCTCCGGAGGCCTTATGGCATTTAGCCATAACTTCCCACCAGTGTTAATTTTGGCAGCTATTTTTGATTTAGTCTTAGTCTTTAGACGAAAAATGCATATTAGTTTTAGTCACATTTAGTCATTTTAATCCTTCTTAGTTTTAGTCTAGTTTTAGTCTAGTTTATGTCGACGAAAGAACATTTTAGTCTAGTTTTAGTCGACAAAAACTAGACTAAAATGTAATTAGTTTTAGTCACATTTAATAGCCATATTAAACTCCTTTTCTTCCCTTCTCAGGCCCAGGGACCCCCTGCGTTGTATCTACAGCTGCATAATAGTCTAGCTTGCAGTACTTGGTTGTCCATTAGATGTCCCTCCTAGGACAGGTCTATAGCAGCGGTCGGCAGACTTTTTGACTCGTGGGCCACAATGGGTTGTAAAATGTGACGGAGGAGCCGGGCCAAGAACAAATGGTGGAAGTGTTTGTGTGAGCGAATATAAATGACATGTGAAAAATCATTACATGAAAGGATTGGGATTTTAACAAATAGCAAATCATTTATTTGCAAGTGTAGCAGTATGGAAATAGGATTGTCCTGCTACAGTTAACTGCGGCTGCCGACCACTAGGGCAGCGGTAGTATATGAAGGCTGCCCCCCTTCTCGCGCCCCACTGATGCATCATTTCCGGGTCAGGTGTCTGTCTGCGCAGAGTAGCGACAGAGTGCTCCGTGCACCGTGCTCCGTTTTGCTCTTTGGTCCTCTCAACCGGTGCTAGATGTCTTCCTGCCGTGTGAGTCTTTCTCTCCCTCCCTCTCCCTGTGCAGGTTTGACCTGGGAAACAGGGAATGCTCATCAGCTGGCCAAAATCTACAGGTGGTGATTGATGTGACAACACTATCAGTTGACTGCTGCTTTGCCTGCTTTGCCTGCTTTGACTGCTGCTTTGTCTGCTGCTAACTGCAACTTAGTCTGATGCTACATGTAACCTTGTCTGTAACTGTCTGCACTGTTAAATGCTGTTAAGTGCACAGTTTGGTCTCCGCCGCGACGTACCTAGCATGTATATTGCCGGCACCAGACTTGGACCTGTGTAGTTCTCTGATTCTAGCTGACTAACTGAGTAGTTAATCCTTTAGTTTGTATTTCTTTTGGTTTGTTTCCCTTATTTTATTTTTTGTTTGGGTTACGTGAATTGTTTGATTGGGACGATTTTTATGTGAATTATTTTCTTTTTCTGTTTCGTGTTGTACATTTTTGGTTTAATTCTCTTGTAACCTTCTTTTTTGGTTATCCTTCCTAGCGGCTGTATGCTGGTGGTGGCGCCGGTGGCGTGGGTGGTGGTGGTCTTCCTCGTGTGTCGTGTCCCATTGGATTTTTGTGCTATCACTGGGTGAACTCTGGTTTGTTTTCTCTTAAGTTCGTTTTATTAATTTTCTTTCCCCTTCACCCCTTCACCGCGCTTCTCACCATTAGGCCTTAGCAATTAGTTTTCTTTTCTTATTTTGTGATGCATGTTAGATTTTATGGTAATGTATATTTATTGAATAAAAATGCTTTTGTAAACTGGGAACCACGAGCCCTTGCCTATTGATTGGAACGAACCTGTGTGCTTTAAAAGGTCGTTGTCGGTAGGATAGGAAACCATTACGCCACACAAGGCAATTTAACAAATTGGCAAAGGTGTAACAACTTGATGAGGACCAGGGATCTAAACGCAACACTTTGTTGTCTTTGCCTGTTTACTTGGAATGCTTTTGAAACTTCATGGTCCTTTATTGTTTCCACTGTCCCAACAAAAGAGACCTTAACGTCCTACAATCGCTGCAATACATTATTTTCTTGGCTTCAGAACCTGCAATGAGTTTATTACGTTAGACGCGTTTGTAACGGAGCGTCTCATCCACCGAGGAAACGCTGCCTGCCGTCGCCAGAGAACAGAGCAGAAAGGTCCGACGGTCTTTAAACGGGTCTTCATGTTTCTGTGAAGCAGCGCGGCTTCAGCCCGCTAACAGGCAGCTAACAGTCAGCTAACAGTCAGCTAACAGGCAGCTAAACAGACAGCTGAGACAGCTGAGCTAAACTAACGAAGCCACATTCAAACTCGCCGAAGCGTAAAATAGTCGTCGCGGTCCGTAGTCGGTGCACAAGAACCACCGCTGCACCGATACGCGCGTTCTGGGTTCGTGGATGACGTCATCATGACGCGTTAATAACCGTCTTACTTTGCCGGTCTGTTGTCTGTCAGCTGCGGGCGAATTTAGGGGGGAAAGTATCGTGACTTCGTCAACCACCATGTTCGTCTCGTCTCGTTAACGAAAGTTAGTTAGAATAGATTTAGTCATAGTTTTTATTTTTTAAGATCGTTTTCGTCACGTCTTATTCTCGTCTTAGTCATGGAAAAAAGGTTCGTTAACGAACATTTTTCGTCATAGTTTTCGTCGACCAAATTAACACTACCTCCCACAATGCATCACAAGGATCTCTCAAGAGGGGCTAGCGTGCTTTCGCTATCCGCAAGACAGAATTCCAGACATTCCGATTGCCTGGCGTGATGTCGCTCAGGCGGCAAGTGAGTTCAAGTCGCGGTGCTGCTACGCTGGAAGCCCAGCGTGCTCAGGCTGCATCCGCACGCAGCTTCTCATTTGCAAATCATGGCCGGGGACCTCATAGTGAAGTCCATTCAGAGTAGCTGCTCAGTCACCCGGGGACACTTAGCCGAGCGCACAACGCATGACCATCGAGCAGCTCCCCGGGTGACTGTTTAGCTGATGGCTGGTGGAGGAATCTGCTTCTACTTCAACAACAGCTGGTGCAACGACGTAACGGTGATCCTACAACACTGTTCTCCTGATCTGGAAACTTTCTTCATCAACTGCAAACCCTTTTATTCCCCCCGTGAGTTCGCTTCATTCATCCTGGTCGGTGTTTACATGCCGCCGGCGGGCAACGTGCACGAGGCACAGCGGACACTCGCCGACCAGATACGGCGTGTGGAGCGGACCAACCCGGACTCTTTAGTTATTGTCCTCGGGGACTTTAACAAAGTAAATCTCACCCATGAACTCCCTAAATACAGACAGTTTATTAAATGCCCCACCAGAGAGGAGAACACGCTGGACCACTGTTACACCACAGTAAGCAGGGCTTATCACGCCGTCCCTTGTGCTGCACTGGGACACTCTGACCACGTCATGGTCCATCTGATTCCTGCATACAGGCAGAAACTAAAGCTCTGCAAACCTGTGGTGAGGGAATTCAAGAAGTGGACCAGTGAGGCGCTGGAGGATCTTCGGGCGTGCTTTGACTGCACAGACTGGGATGTTTTCAGGACTCCTACTGACAGTCTGGATGAGTTCTGTTGTGTTAAA